AAGAAGAAGAAGAAGAAGAAGAAGAAGAAGAAGAAGAAGAAGAAGAAATAATTTTGCAAAGGTGCAAGTATTAAACAGAATGTATGCAACAGGTTAAATTGTGCAGGAAAATGGACTTGTTTTGTCCCGGAAAGATGGAAATCCCTCCCACTCTTTATATTCTGGGGAGGGGAGGGGGGGTTGCTAAAAATCTCACCTTCCAAGACAGGATGATGGGGGCTAGAGTCCTTTGCCCCATTTTGGCCCTGCCAACCCATTTCAAGTTCATGGCTCTCTTCTCTCGTTTTGCATTTCGCTTTCGACTCTCCTCCTGCCCTGCCCTTCTCTATCCTTCCCCTTTCTGTCTCCCTCCCCAAAGGAGCAGGAGTCCGTCCCATCAGCCCCAGCCCTGGAAAGGATTGGCTATTAGGAATCTTCTGGGAAGGAGGAAGAGGAAGGAGAAGAGGAGGAGGAGGAGGAGGAGAAAATAGATGAAAAGAAGAAGGAGGAGAAGGAAGAAGAGAGGATAGATGAGAAAGAGAAGGAGAAAGGAAAGAAGAAGACCAAGTTTGCAATTATTTGATCATCCACATAAGAAGAACTTAAATGCCATTTTATTTTGTCCAAGAAGAAAGGAATTCCTTTGAAAGGAATTTTGGCAGGGTATTTTGCATTTATTTACAGGCTGACTGAATACAGATGAGCTTAAGCACATAAAACACTGTTCAAGATCCAGTCTTACTTATTTAAACCATTTCTATAGCCATCCCATCTTATAAGCAACCGCTTGGAAGCTCCCAATCTGGCAACCTGAAGCTTCTCCTTGTCTTTCAGTTCTAAATTTACATCATCTTAATAAACCTTTCCAGCAAATATTATTTATTGGGCTTTGGGAGTCCCAATTTGAAAAATGGCAGAAAAAGAATTCGGTCAGCCAAGGGTGAAGCATACAGAAGCATCGTTTCGATGCCCAGTACCAAGTTACGATTTAAAACTCAGGGAAATCCGAAATACTTTATCCAAAAGTACCTAAAAGTATCTCGACCCAGAAACAGACCACTTTTTTTCTCTCCTTCTTGTTTTTTTCTGAGATTCAAATGGAAGCACATCCTGCTCTTTGAAAACCACACCCCGCCAGCGACTGGAAAAATAGACGAATTTTCCATAAAAGAAAGGAAGGAGGGAGGGAGGGAAGAAACCCTTATAGGTCTAGCAAGGGAGGAGAAAATCCAAGGGAGAGAATAATCTTATCTGCTTAGATTAACCTTGTTGTCCCAGTTTCTCTATGTAATCTCTGTCTCCTCTCTGTTAAACAAGAAATAAAAGTGCCTTGTTGATAAAGAAAGAAAGCAACAATATTTCTTTTCTTTGATTTAAATCACAAATAGAAGTGAGGATATTTCCCGCATTTTTCTGCAAAGGCCAAGCTGGTTATTAATTGCAGGGGATTTGGGAATATATTTTATATATTCAAAAGGAAAAAAAAAACAATCTGGATAATAATAATCTGGACACCCGATGCCACCTCTCATTTACCATGGCGGGATGTCTCCTTTGAATGAAAGCCAGGGCACAGCTGGCAGGGCCTTTTCCTTCGTGTCGACGGCGCCATTTCTGACTTCCGGACCGCTCTTCCATGTGTCTGGATTATGTTTCTCTTAGCCTCACATCACGGCTGGGATCCAAAGAGAGAATTTGCAAGCAGGGCTGTGGAATAACCGGGATGCATGTCAGGAGGAGCATTAAAAATGAGTGCCAGGTTTATAAGCAAAAGGAAGGAAGGAAGGAAGGAAGGAAGGAAGGAAGGAAGGAAGGGGGAGGGAGAGAAAGTGAGAGAGGGAGGAAAGGAAGGAAAGAAAGAGAGAGAAGGAAAGAAGGAGGAAAAAAGAGAGAAAGAAAGAAAGGGAGAGAGGGAAGGAAGGAGAGAGAGAAAGAAAGGGAGGGAAGGAAGCAAAGAAAGGAAGGAAGGAAGGAAAGAAAGAAAGAAAGAAAGAAAGAAAGAAAGAAAGAAAGAAAGAA